GAGATACTTAAACAGAAAGTGGATTTTTTTTTTAAATTAACAAATATACGAGGTTTAGTGAAACTTGAATCTCGGCGTCGAAATTCTGATGAAATCATATAATATGTGAACCGGAGAATAGTGGTAGGACGGTGGGAACTGTGGCTCGGTTTTAATAAGTCTGCCTTGATGCAGATGATTATTTGCCTTTCATTCACATTCTGTGTGCATGCATGAATGTGTTAGCAATCAAGGCCCGAGTCGCTAATTTAGTCTGGGCGCATCTTAAGCAGATGGGACCCACCTGCCTAAATATGCAAATGCCCTGTTTTTTCATCTCCTGAAAGTCTGCATCAGTCAGCTGACGGCTAATACCAGGCGAGAGGCAAGGCACGCCCAGCGCCCACCATCTTACCAGCAGCGATGAAAAGCGAGAGAGAGAGAGAGAGAGAGAGAAAACGAGAGGAAGAGAGAGAAAGAGAGAGAGGGAGATCGTAGACGAGGCTGGGATATAACCTGCCCCGGGCCAGCCAGCCCCTGTCTTCGAATCGCCACTTATATAAAAGAAATTCCACGTCAATTTTTATATATTTCTTCATCTCCCTCCCTCCCTCCCTCCCTCCCTGGCAGCGAAGGCTGGTAGAAATTATTTAAATGAATAAATATTCTCGAATGTGGAAGGGAAGCGAAGGGGTGGCGGGCAGGGCAGGGTGTTGAGGGGGAGAGAGGGAGAAAGACAGGAGAGAAAAAAAAAAAGCATTATATTCCGCTAACGTCACTTCATTACCTCCGTTGAAGAAATCAAAATGAATAATCGCGACTATTTTCCAGCGATGTTCCTCTTAATCGGATCATTTTAGCTCATTACATTTCATTACGCGATTGTGGTGCTTTCTTTCCGCGGTGGGTTGGCGGGGGGTGGGGGGATGTGGGGAGGGGGGAGGGAAGAGGTGTGCGTCAGGATAAGATTATCTTCCTCGGTTGAGAAATACCACGGGTAGTACAGTTGTAAAGCTGCGACCTAGAATCCTGTTCATTATTTCAAATAAATCAAACACACCCCTCACCCAAACCGATACCCCCCCCCGCCTCCCCCACCCCATTCCCCACCGAAACAACACTGAGAGAACACGGTTTACATGTGAGCCAGACAATCATACCGAAAGAAACAATCCTTACACTTATTATAGGCCTTTCACGTCGGGAGCTCGTCTGAAAATGCTTCATAAGATTTACTGTAAAATGCAGCGACTGCGTATTTTGCGGACGAAACCCAGTAGCCAATTTGCGCACAGCAACATACCCCAAATAGCCATGAAGCGAGTGACCAATTTAACTGGGGGATTGCTGGCCAGGAAGTGCGGAGAAACTCCCTTCTCTTTTCAAACAGAGACACCTGAACAGGCAGATGGGCATCTTCGCAACAATGCAACACTCCCCCCAGCACTCCACTGGAGTGTCAGCCCAGACAACGTGATTCTTATGCTTGACGCAAAGTCACCACACTATCAGTAAACCTCCCCACCCTCCGCAAAGCACTTCAAGACGTTTCCATGCAATAAATAGGCACGGCAGCAACCGAGAGCTCCAGCAATTTGGCGAGGAATAAATTTAGGACTGACCTGCAGTTTACAGACTATAACAAGTTGCAAATTCACCCTCGGGAGGTTAGAAAGGATTTAGAAAAAGAGCTTCTGATGACACAATCGTCTCTTTTTTTATATAAATATAAACACGGGGCTTTAAATTTAGCAACTTCACAAGCATCAAATAGGAAACCCCTCCCTCCCCAGTGAGAGTGAATCAGATCACACACATTGACTTCCTGTCCTTGAGTGTCAGTGAGAAGCATCACAGCTCATCTCTGAAACTTAGCCTATGATTGTCATCACTGTTGAAACGTAGGAATTACTAGACACAAAAAGACCACGTAGTCCACCTAGTTTGCCTTCTCGTACACTTGTCCATGCTACAATAATGGAGATGTTGACTGATAGGAAATAATTCTGTATTGATTAGTCTACAACAGACTGGAAAGCTTTGGGAACCTTAGATCCAAAGTTGCCTGGTTCTTCCAAGCCATACTACACTTACTATACGTCATGCTCTACCTGAGCTTGGCAATGGGGAACCAAACCAGCCAGGATTCCTGCTCTTGACAATGGCCCACACAAAGTTCAGAGGTGTGGAAGGGGTGAATTACAATTCCCTCCCTGCAGATCTTGTTAATCGTCCAAGCAGCTTGCCAGGCAGTGCTCTCAATGGCAATCTATGTGGTTTTAGCTGCTTGAGGTCGAGCCATACCCCAATACATGTACTGAGGTCCTCAAGCCTTGGCTCTCACCAACCTGCACCTAATACTCCCTGGAATTAAGCGGGCAGAGTGGGCTCCTCCAGGAAGAGAGTGTGCATTCCATAGATACAGAAATTTCCATGTGTAAGTGGCATACGTATGCGGAACCCGCAGTCTGGTTCGGATGCTCTTAAGCGTGGCGATGGGTTTCATGTGTCAAACACTCAGCTGGCCTAATAACAATATGTGTATGGTGTGTTTGAGTGCACCACACGTGTGTGTGTGTGTGTTTATGTGTGTGTGTGTGTATATGTGTGTGAGTGAGTGAGTGAGTGAGTGTGTGTGTGTCCGCAAATGGTTGCGTTTGTGACTGTAACCTAGATTCTGGTGTACTCTGACCCGCAGCTTTTAAGCACATTGATAAAATGTCACAAACAGGAGAGAATACTGCACTCTTTCCAAACCAGTTCCTTTCCTTAATTATCCCACTCCAGGAGATACTGCAATTGTCACCGGAAGTTAATTTTATTTTAAAGTCAGAGAGGTTTGGGGATTTTTTTTTAGGAAAATGTACGAAATGAGGATCAGGTGGAGATGGAAGGACAGCAAAAAGCAGTCAAAAGCAACAGACGAAACACACAAGATATTCACATGTCACTGAGAGAGACGGCGTGTCACACACAGCTGGCACAGAGGTTAATCGCACAGTCTGCTGTGTTATTATAAAAGAGTCTCATTTCTGTCTCCGTCTCCTGCCGCAGGCAAAACAGTCAGACCTTCCCGATCCTACATTTCCCCACCCAAACACCTGACCCCCTGTCTGGAGCGCCTGATGTTATGCAGACAGCAGCACAAGAATGGAGGAAGGACGGGACGGACAAGGGGGAGTGGTTGGGAGGGGGGGGGGAGGAAATCGGGAGGGTGTGGGTGGGAAGGTTAGTCAAAGTCTTCCACTCAAGCGTCCGCAGTTCACAGACAGCAGATGGCTCGGTGATTGGGCCCCACTGATGGGCAAGTGGGTGAAGAGAAGATGGCAGAACCCTTCTGCCAAGGCAGCATTCCTCTCCCTCTATTTAGGCCATTCGTTCACAGTGAACAATCTAAATAGGTTCCTAACGTGACCACGAGAGCAATTACTATGAATTATTTCCCTTCTGCACCCAACGTCCCTGGGATATTAATACTTCCACACAAGAAATCAAAGATTTTTTTATGTTTTTGCCCGTGACCCATTTTTTCCCCTCAAATTTAGCAACGGCACAATTCGCTTGCTATTTATAAACGTTACAAAAATTGGTTTCGAACCAGCTCGTGTGGGTCTGCAAATCCCACCCCCACCCCTTTGAATCACCAGATATTAACATTCGACAGACGTGAGACAGAAATAATTAATGGTAATTGCACCTTTTAGTGGAGACAAGCTCCTTTGTTGCAAGGGTTTTTTTTGGAGGTGGGGGGTGTGGGGAATTACCAAATCCTCTTATTAGAGATACTCCCCTCCCCCACCCTCTGAGGAAAAGACCCCCTCTCTCCCACCGCCTCCCCAGCCAACCTCTAATGTCTCACTCAGATGAAACATCAGAGAGTTCCTTCATGCTAACTTCTTAAGCAAGACAAGTGGAGTGTCTCACACCACTGTTCACCTGTTATTGGAACCTCTGCTGTTCGATGCTGTTCCCATTAAGAGGCAGACACTTAATGCGTCGTGAGGTTAATGAGATTATAAGCCACGACCACAGTCCAATATTGCTTCAACATTGCTTTCTCCTTTCCCCCTTCTCACTCTCTCTCTCTCTCTCTCTCTCTCTCTGTCTCTCTGGGTTCTGCCCTTGTTATTTCAGCCCAGCAGCATCGATTAAAATTTCATGCGATAATTAATATGCAAAAGCATTTCGCAGGAGGTCAGAGTCTGATAAACCATTTCCCAGGTAAAGGATTCTAACTGGCCACAAAGTGACAAAGAAGAGCATCACTCAGGTGTAGATGGTGATGTTGGGGATGGGGGGGTGCGAGGGGCGATTAACTTAGGCTTTGATTCACCCCTTTTCATCTGTAAGCTAACAAATTTTCTCCTCCTTCCACATTTTGGTCAATTCACTTTACAGTATATTCTGTGGAGCACTGAAAGACGTGATCAGGCGCTATTTCAAATGCACATATTATTAATGTTATTATTATTATGGTGATAGCAAAATTCTGTGTTGAAATTCTAATGCTATATTCTCTCCCCCTCTTCAAGGTGACACTCCAAGACAGTACTTGGGAGAGCTGTATTGTTGGAGGGGCCTGTCCTTCAGATCAGGCATTAAAGCAAGCTGCCATCTGTGGATTTAGTGGATGTTAAATATCTCATCACAAAAAGAGTTTCTCCCAGTTGAACAATTCTCTGGATCGATTGTTCACTCACCTCACCACTGACTGTAGTACCCTGACGGCTCAAGGTGACCAGAAAAATAGTCACTACACTGGACAGTAATTACTTGCAAAGGGCTCCGAGAGGTTGTGACGTGAAATGGCACTATAAAAATCAAGTACTTTTTTTTTCTCCTCTCTTCACCCCCAATTTCCTCCGTTTCAGCAGAAAAATGCAAGACGCATTCCAATAAAGTGCCCTCTCGAAGTGCAAAGGTACATGTTAACTCAACTTCGTAAAACTTTCAAAGCAATAATGAAACAATGCCCTTTGCTGAGGAAAACCTGCGTCTGGATAAGCTGAGAAATCGCTTACCACGGTTGCAGAGTTCTGGTTGTTACCCCGAGGCATCATGCGGAGAAATGTTTTGGGGTCAGACATCGGGACCGGCCACTGGAAACCTCCTGCCTGTCACGACCTGCGGTGGATAAAAAAAAGCTTGTTCAGTTCATCGGCTTTTGGCTACATTGCTATCTGAGAATCTGCCACGTCAGTGCGTAGGAACAGTAAGAGGCTGTTCAGCCCATCGAGACTCTTCCACCAGTTTATTGGAGCACTTTCCGTCTTCTTGTCCACTTTACAATATATTATGTGAAGCGCTTTGAGACGGCTCAATGATGCGATAAGGCGCTGTATCAAATACAAGGATTATTATTATTATTATTTTAACCATTTTTGCCAGACTTTTCTACATACTCCTTAATACAGCACCGGATTGATTGCAATGCTCCCCAAACATTTACCTCGCTCCCTTTGAAGCATCCCAATTGATTCAATCTCTTTTAGGGAGGTGCATTCCACCCGCACGAGGAAATGTTCAGTGGGCAAACGGGACTGAGTGGCTAATCTGCCGATTACAACAGCAACATTTGTGTAGCGCCTTTCATGTCGGGAGGACATCCCAAGGTGCTGGGCAGTTAAGGAGAAGTTCACGGACAATTTTAAAATGGTTTATATCAAGGCTCTTTGTGGGACATTCCTGTGTACAAACTAGCTATCGCCGTCACCTACAAGTACACAGTTACTAAACTTCACAGTAAAATCCCATGAAATGTTTTGAGATGTCTAGGCCATGTGACAAGGCGTTATACCAAATGCAAGGATTATTATATTTTGACGCCTGATGAGTTCTTAATAATAATACTTGCATTTGATATAGCCTCTTATGTCTTCGAAACATCTCAAAACGCTTCACAGAATATACTGTAAAGTAAATTGACTGCATATTTTGTGGGCGAAACTAGACCACTGTTCTTCAACCGATGCACGTCTCTCTCCCCCCACAAAGAGTCTCAGTGTTTGCGCTTTATTCATACGACTCTGGCTGTTGCTTGTCTGAACTTTCTTCCCTTGCTCCTTTTAAGCTCCAAATACTGTCCCGCACGACTGCCTTAAGCAATTCTATGGGTAAAAAAAGGGGGACACAGTCCCTTCAAAGGAAGCAGGTCTGTTTGCATAATAAACACATATGCACCTGTCTCCCCCCCTTTGCTGGTGTGAGTAGGTAAGATCCACAGCAGCATTTAATCAGACAGAAACTAGCTAGCTCCTTGGGAGGTTAATACCAGTCATTAGGACATGCTATTGTGATGGGACAGGGATTACATGAGTCAGGACAGAGCAGACAATATGGTGCCCCCCTAGGAGAGAAGCACTCGCCCCATCCCAGTGATTAGAGGCAGAGTTGATCTGGTTTAACCCTTTGTACGTTACGTGCCCTTTTGCAGCAATCAAAATATCTGCACATTCTACAGAACAATTTCGGGGGGGAGGTCAGAATTCCCATCACTCAATAGACAAAGTGTATTTAGAGAGTAGCTTATTCACAGACTAGTGGGGTCTAAGTTAAGGTACTGATCTCAGAGGGAGTGGGGGTTGGGGGGGTCAGGAAATGAACCAATGCGCTGATTCCTGTTCGCCATTCAGACCACACCCCATCTCCCCCCACTTCATTCTAAGCCCCTCTCCCATTAGAAGGTAAACTTTTTGTAGTATTGGAGTCAGGGTCAGGGCTCAGCTGTGATGACCCCCATGGTCAAACATCCTACCAACACTTAGTGTTGAGGTTCACAGATCCTCGGGTGATGTACCAGAGAGTGCTTGTGGATGCTTACATCAATCAACACTTTTGAGGCCAGGAATGAAGGCTGAGGGGAGGAGGAGGGTGGGTGCTGAGCAAGAGTACAGAATTCCTGTTTCCAGTGAAGTTTTTTTCTGCAGAAGCTCTTAGAATATTCCTCATCACCTTGATCACACTTCCTTCGAATTGCCCACGAGTCGTTTCCAACGTTTCCCCCTTTCAAACCCCTTTCAACTCCGCCAGCGATCAGTCGCTGACAGCTTCGCAGCCCGTCTCAACTCTCTGACAGTCAGAGAACAACTGGCCGCTTTATAAGACAAAAAAAAACTTCAAACACATGTACTCATCAGCCATTTGTCTCTCTGCTTGACTCAATGTCCCCGGTTTTATATTGGAATAACTGAACATTGTCTAAAATTACAAATGAGCTGCAGACGATTTGGCTATCTGTTTGCATGCAATGGCATATATATGGATGGTGTGTATGTTGCATGTTACATGTGTTTAACATGTTGTTCATGTAATGCACACGTACAACATGCTAAATAACTGGCAAATGCTATATGTGGGCACGTGCTATGTATTTAGAATGTTGTATATGTTAATGTACGTTGGTGTAATATTGCAGGAATTATATGGTATAAAGATTGCGGGACCCAATGTGTGTAACAATAATAATAATCCTTGCATTTGATGTAGCATGTTTAACGCACACGTGTGTGTAAAGTGATGGGGGAATTGATAGTGGACATATGTTGGGATTCGTGTGAAGTATGGGTGGAGTGGAGTGTGGATCTTGACCTTGCGTGTCCCACAAGGGGAACCAGTTCTCTTATCCTGTAATAACAAGTGCCTGGCGAAAGAGGGAGAAAAATCAACCAAGGTCTGATTGCTGTCCAGTGACCTCCTACTGAAAGACATATTTATGTATGTGTGTCTGTGTGAACTTTAGGTGAGACAAGGTCAGTTTGACTGCAAAGCCTACCCCGAACCATTTCCTCACCCCATCACCCCACTCCCTGACCCACCCCCCACACACACAGTCGAAAACACACACACACAGTCACCCTCTGTCTGTGCTCACATGTGAAGAATATTTACTTGGCTATACATAGTGCTAAATTGCCCGTGAAAGTGTGAACCCAAGGCAAGTAGCACCTTTAGGAGAGGGAAGAAAGGAGAATAAATTTGGCCTCAATCAAGGACAAACCTGGGTCAATTCATGCCTGGGACGGAGAGGCAAAACAGGATAACTGCGACTTTCCTTAACATTTAATTCCAGGCGCTGTTTGTGTGTGTGTATAAACAAAATCACACACACACAAAAATTCACCCCTTTCTAAGTACAAGTACAAGGATAATGAGTACTGAGTAGCCTTTCATAATCCACTAACCTAATCTGGGTGTTTGTATATATACTATATATATATATATATATATTAGAGTGATTGAGACAGAGAAGGAGGTTGAAAAAAAAGTATGAAGGGCTGAATGGTAACTGCAGAAGGGGAGCAAGAGGTCTGATTGGTACAGTCCAGGGGCCAGGTAAGTGGCAGACTAAATATTTCAATACGATGCATAGTAAATTAGGGGATTGTCTGGGCGCAGACGAGAGTGTGTGTTTAGACTCAATAAGTATGCAGGGCTTGTAGTACTGTGGATGTTCCTTGACCCTCTTGTAAGGGGGGGTCTATTCTCAGTCTTCTGGGCGTGGGAAAAAGGCAACATTCCATTTCACAGCTGCCGCTTCGTTCAAACTGAAACAACCGAGGCTAGTTTTTTTTCCCCCATTGATTTCCGTCCTTCCACCTCCATCCCAAACGCAACACATTATCCTCCACCCACACCCCCCCTCCAACCCCACCACCCACCCATCCATCCTCCCTCCTCCCCCCCAAAAAAAAACGTTAGCTTCGGAATACCAACTCGGTCGCCTGGCGAAGTCAGCCCTGGAACTGAGCAGGACACCCACCGCCCACACACACACACAAACACACACACACACTTCTTCCCCTCCCACCTTAAAAAAATATACACCCTCAGATCAATTTCCTCTCTCTCGCCTAAAATGGGTTCCCTGTCCATAGAACAGGGAAATTGATAAATATTTAAAGAGGGCTCTCTCTCTCTCTGATACACACACCACACACACACACACACACAGCAACTGCATTGGAAGTCCCAATATATCAGTCGACCCCCAAATTAAGTATAAAATATGATCACCATTTTTTTTATTTGTTATATAAAATATATAACGCGGTTATAGGTTCCTGATTGCAATTAATGCATTTAAAACTTGACAGTCTCTGTTCTGGCATTTATTCCAAATAAATCCTATTGTTTTACTTAAAGCAAGTTTAGTTTCTAATTGCCCGGACATGACAGTAAAAAAAATAAAGTATCTGGGGCAGAACCAAGTTCTATCCTTAAAGAAATTTAAAATATACCTCAAACAAAGCTTTTCATTAAAAAAAACAATAAATCCATTTCTATATGGTGTGAAACACCGAAGATTCCTGTCCATCGCTAAACACCTACAATTATTTTCTGAAACTTTTAACACTTCCAGTTAATACAATTAAAACATATTTTGACCACAGCCAACTATTCGTAAAGCATACATGCGGAAAAACTCCAACACATTTGAAATCCAGAGCAAATCGCTTAATTTTAAATTACAAATTCATTTTTATATCATGCTACTCTTTGTCTATTTCTAGTCCTTCTCAACTGCACATTGTGCTGGAATTACTAACTTCTTTTACCGAGTTAAGAAACTGGGAAGTTTCAGAAACTGTCAAAAACTATTTAATAATGTCTAAATATTCTAAATGTAATACTTTTTTTAAAAGAATGATTTATTTTTGTTCGAAAGTGTGGGATCCCACATCATTAATAGCATTAATTTCGCAAAGGCTTTGCTTATATTTCCAGGGAGTTTGTTGTGATTCAGGAAACGATTGCCTCATTGGTCCAGATAGAGAATATTAGCATTTACACCTGACACAGACCCATACCTAATCTGCCAACAACTGCATTTACATGGCTGATAATAATAATATAATAATAATCCTTGCATTCGATATAGCGCCTTACCATGACATTGAGACGTCTCAAAGCGCTTCACAGAATATACTGTAAAGTGAATTGACTGTATTTTGTGGGCGAAATGCAGCAGTCAATTGCGCACAGCAGTGTCCCCCAAACAGTCGTGGATTGAGTGCCCAAATTATTCATTTATTTATTTTTGAAGGGATTATTACCCTCCGGAAAAGCGATCCATCAATTGACTAATAACTGGGTTCCTACTTACAGGTAAAAAGGTTGATGTGAAT